CCAGTTAAAGTACTGTAGGCCTACCTAGATTTGCAGGAGACTTCTTTATCAATTCAACAATACAGCTTTATGCTACAGTCCAACCTCTGTATAACGAATCTGAAGGGACCGAACTGAATATTCGTTATATCAAGGGTTTCGTTAAAACGAGGTTCGTTATATAGAGGTTATGTTTACAGGAATTTCGCTAAGTCGAGGTTCAGAACCAGCGTCGGTCAATATAGGTCGGGATTAGACGTCATTAAAACACAATTAAAGTAGCATAGGCTACAATACTTTACAGTACAGTGTTTACATTGTACAGTAGAACCTAAATTATCCGGCACAATAAAAGGGAGGGATCTTGAATATTGCGCAATCATGACAATGGCATTGACCTTGGTACAGGTAAAAAAACTGTAAGTTTAAAATCACAGCTTGTTCTAACCCTCCCAAAACCTAGCCAAACACTGTATTGCGTAGTCATAAACCATGTAAAGAACAAAACAAAACAGTAGTAGAAAGTTTTGTAAGCTACTGCTCGTGATAGGCCGGTAGGCTACTTACAGTACAGTACTGATTTATCACAACAGAGGAATGTCAATAGTAATCATTTATAGCATTGGTGTTGCTAGTTGAAACAAATCGTATTGAAAACAATACAGTCAATTATTAGATAAGACATTATAAAAGTGTATAATCATAGCCAACTTAAAGATAATAAAAACACTCGAAAAGGAATGTTAAAATAACGATGTTGCTATTCTTTCTCTTTGGTTTTGTTTTTATATTCTTTCTTAGGTTTCTCTTCATCCAAAAACTGTACAATTCACCATAGTTATCCCATATCGCCCAATCACAGATTACTAAACATTACGTCATCATCAGTCCTCATTGAATGAAATCAGTTCTCAGTTGCAACATAGCGCGCGCAGCGAAAGCAGACAGAGATGTGTAAAACCACGTAAAACGGAGCAGACAAATGTTAGCGCAAGCGATGACGTCACCTTTCCATTTCATTTGATAAAGAGACAGATTTTTCAAAAACAATAAAGGGGTGGGGGATTTGTTATATCGAGCGAAAGACGTAGACAATTCGTTATGCAGAGGTTAAATTCGCAATGTAGAGGTTCTGACAATGATAAATTCGCTATATTGAGGTGTGTTATTTTAGCCGAAATCACGAAAAATTCGTTAAATCAAGGTCGTCGTTATGGTTTGTTCGTTATGTAGAGGTAAAATATACATTGTGTCTTATGGATAGTTCTAGGGGATTTAAAAAAATTCGTTATATCAAGGAATTCATTGTATCGAGGTTCGTTATATCAAGGTTAGACTGTACATTGAAAAAATGGTTAAATTTCCCTGTTTTTTAGTAGTGATTTCTATATACTGTACCCCAATGCATGTATAGGGTATCATGATTTAATTCTAGGGTTAATTAGTTTAGTTTTTATATTAAAATTATTCTTTATTTATAAAAAATTTTAGTTAGGTTTTTTATTTTTTTTGGGAGAAAGCTTTATTTTTGCCATGTAAATATATGTTTGTTTGTTTGTCCTTTATGGACTCCGAAACCGCTCGACAATTTGTAATGAAACTTTCAGGCATTATTAAGCATTACTCAAGGATGGTTTTTGTGAAATTTGGTGCAGATCCTTCAAAAGGGCTCCGCCCCAGTGGCTCTGGAGTTTCCTATGTTAACCTTATGAGTACTCAGATTTAAATGTAATTAAAGAATCTTGACAGCTGGTTCAACTAAACAATATGATTCTGTGATGTTCAATAGCATTAAAAAGTTAATAGCCTAGGTTTACCAACAGGGTGGAGCACGAACTTCAACCTGGAGGCGAGTTAGCGTAGCGAACGAGCTAACCTGAAGGTAAGTGAGCGCAGCGAACGAGCTCCAACCTAAAGGTGAGTGAGCGTAGCGAACGAACTTCAACCAGGACAAGATTGAGCCTTGCAAACGAGCACCGGGTGGCGTCGTCGTCCTGTAATCGAGCTACTAGGAAGTCACGAATTGTGGATATTTATAGTCATGCACTGTGGATGCAATACTCCCTGCGATTAACGTCCGCACAAGTGAGGACTAGGACTATCCGCAGTACTATCCTGATAATTAGACCAATTCACATAGGAAGAATGTGGTTCGGATTCCACTGTAGGTCCCTTAGTTGCCATTAGCTGCATGGACATTAATTAACAGCTGTGTCTAAAGGTATATGTCGCCTTAGTCATTAACAAGGCTACAAGATCGCGCCACTCATCCTACACTCATCTCCATTCATACTTGGCAATACTTATCCATTCAATACCTAATTCGTATGGTCGCCATTTCATTAAAAAGTATCCCAGTCTGTATAATATTCTTAAGAAAAAGAATTTTCAATAAAAACGCAAAAAGAATTACAGTATTTTATTAATGTAGAAAAATCTGGTCTTACATAACAAATTAACTAGCAAAAAAGTACTGTATTATGCTGTATTTGCTATGGATTACCTTATTTTGATACTTTCTTATTTAAAATATATTATAACCAATGATCAGCCTCTACCTATAGCCTTTGCAGCATAAAAAAGTAACAAATTCATCTATGTTGTTTTATAACTAGCAACAAAAACATTAGATAGGCTCAGTATTCATATTTTTCATTAAAATTTCAAAATTCAGCAAGAGGTAAATTTGATATTCATCACTGCCTAGTTTCAAAATATTAAATGTTAAAAGGTGCATCTAAAGTAGGCCTACCTATTATTACACACTTTGGAATTTTCTTGGTAAACTATCTCAATTTGCTAACAAATATTCTGTTCAATTGATATTATTTATAAGTGATCTTATGTCCCCTTTTTTTAAACACTACATAGTTAATTTTTGTTATGTTTTTCAGGTGGACAGTGAATGAATAAATTGGTACCAGCAGGTTGTACTAAACAAAATTTTCATAGGAGTTCTTTTGGAAGTAAAAAACAATTATCCATAAAAATATTAGAAAACATACTCTTGATACTTACTACTCTAGGTCTAGTATCCTTTTACCAATTCGATAGGAATTTAACAGAATATTATTTAAACTCAGTTAAATAAGTTATCAACTAGAATTTAAAAACATTACTGATATGTTTAGCTTTTATCTATCTTCTTTTACTAAATTTATCAACTAATATATTACCAAAGATGATAAATAAACTAACTATGAAGTGTTAACAAATCAAGATTGAAATAGTTATTGAAATTTTAACAGTTAGAAGTGTAAAGAAAATCAGTGTCCTATATGTAATCTTAAGGTAGATTATAAAAACCTTTGAGGTAAAATAATTATCCTATGGACCTATATAATATATCAAAATTAGGTCTACAAATTGCTATCAAGTCCAAATCAATGATGCTATAAATTTAAACTTAGTATTAAAACACTGTAATTAATTATTTAATTACAAACTTTGTGAATATAGTTTGAGCTGAATGTGGATGAAATTTTTGAGAATATAATTTTGTAATATCTAGTCTGTAGCTTAGTTAAATTTTCCAGTTGTTATTTCTCTAAACAGACATCAAAAATAAAATATCAATAATTAGAAGGACTTTGGGAATTGGGGTCTTTACTTTCACAAAATTTAGGCAGATTTAGGGGAAGAAATCTATGCTCTCCACTTGATCCTACCTTTAAAACAGTAGATCAACAGTTGCGGTTTGCTAAAAAATCAATCAGCTGCAGCACACATTAAACAAATAAACGGTATCAACATTCTGACACATACTTTCTCCCATAAGTTTGTCAACGACCTTTATCATGTGTAAGCGGCGAGAGTAAATATACGGAAATGGGATTTGTACAATTTTGTTCAGAATTTAAAGGCTCTAAAGTTTAATCAAAATCTATCGGGCCATTTTTGGGAAAATCAGATTTTTCCATTATTTTATGGGGTTTTATGGGAAAATGATATATTTACAATAACTTTTAACCCATAATTTTTACAGAAATGGGATTTGTACCATTTTGTTCAGAATATAAAGGACTGTAACTTACTAAAGTTTAATCAAAATCGTTCAGGCCATTTTTGGGACAATCCTATTTTTCCATTATTTTATGGGGTTTTATGGGAAAATCCCCATTAAAAATCAAAATTTTTTAAAAATGAAAAAAACTATTAAAATTGTGAGGACCATAACATAGGCTACTATGTAAAATCAAAACGGGATTTTTTTCTAAAATCAAATTTTTTGTTATTTTATGGGGTTTTTACGGGAAAATAACATAATTTACAATAACTTTTGAACCGTAATTTTTTACAGAAATGAGATTTGTACCATTTTATTCAGAATTTAAAGGGCTACAACATACTAAATTTTTGAATTTTTCGGGCCAATTTTGAGAAAATCCGATTTTTCTGGTTTATTATGAGAAAATCCCCATTAAAAATCAAAATTTCAAAAAAATAAAAAAAAACGCCTGGAGATACCATGGATTAGAACCTACATACCAAATTTCATCGAAATCGGACCAGAGGTGTAGTCCCTAGCTCTGTACACATCCAGACACACATACATCACTTCGAAAACCACTTTTTTGGGTCCAGGGGGACCCAAAACGAATATATCCACTCAAAACTCAAACTCGAAAATTTTAACGTAAACAATACTTTCTCCATATACATGGTATAGGGGGAGAAAATAAAAATTAGTGGGGGGAACTTCCCCTCAAACTGCCAAAAGTGTGAAAGATTACAGTTTCAGATTTACTCTATTCTCATCAACCTAGTTTGTGGGATTCATATAAAACTATAGTTAGCTAAGGTGCTTTATTTCAATAAATTCTATATTGGCCAACATAAAAACTACAGTGGTAAATCCTAAACAGTGGATTGGGGTTTTGGTTGTATGTTGTTGCTTGATGATCCAAAATTAATCCTTTGCATTTTTAACACCGAAACTAGCATTCAACTTCAGGATCAGGTAAAATATAGTTTTTGATTGTTATTAGGGATACCAAACACGAAAACTCTAAAACCACCAGTTCTCATTTTACAGAAGATTATTTATTTATGATTATTATTTTGATTTGATACCCACCTATTTACATTGGAATACTACCTTTACACCACTAATATTCCAGGAACAATCACATTATGCGTCTTCTAGTTGCTCTTGAGACCCACAATGTGTAGTATTCTATCAAATATGCTCATGATGAAATCCCAGATGCTGCTGAATATTTCACAAATATGCATCCTCTGTATTCAACAAACACAGTTAGAATTTAGAACTAGTCAAGTGTTAGAATTGAAACAATAATTAATAGTGTAATGTAATTTTCATCACTCCTTAACGAAAGTAACTATTTTCGATAACAGCTGACATCAATGAAAGTAGTCGTTTCCCAAGCTCTAATTTAGGGCGAGGGAAAATCGATCAGCTGATTTTCCCTCGCTCTAAATTTACTTTCCCTCGCTCTCAATTAGTTCTCCATTTATTCACTACGCGCGCTAGTGTTTTGTTACGGTTTAACTTAATGATTTTAATCAGCTGTATGTATTTTTAAAAGTTGTGTTATTCTTTTATTTTGATGTTTAAACAAAATTTATTGAGAAATATACGTTGGTTTCTTTTTAGAAGATTTTATTTTATTTTGATGTTCAATCAAATTAATTGAGAAATAAAATAGTTTTAATATTACTGAGGTCTGCTATTCTGTGTTTGTGTATTTTTGCGTCGTTATGAAAAGTATCGTTCATAACTCGTACCGAAAGTTATTATCCGGCACTTGCTCCATTATTCCCGTCCTCGGCTTCGCCTCGTACGTGAAAATAGCTCTCACATACTCGGCTTCGCCTCGCACGTGAAATTGGGGTTCCCTGTGTTCGGCTTCGCCTCACACAAAAACTTGAGCGTGCAACGGAAAATGCCACTTTCTGTCCTAGTAATGAAATATACTATTTCCTCCTTAAGAAATAATAGAACAAATCAATATGTTTTAGAACCTAACCTTGACTAGACATTGATATAAATCATACCCCCATGTCAATAATTCTACCTATGTTTTACCATTTAATAAGAAGAAAATTTGACTTTATGTTATGTGAGTGTTAACATACCTCTACTATTGAAACTTTTCATAGTTAAAACTGCAAAACAAATTATGGCCAGGGGAGGATTTAAGGCTATATCTTGGTGGGGGGGGGGTGAATCACGGGGGGCGGGGTTATGGAATAACCCCCAGGGAAAGGAAGGAGGTCCCTGGGGGGCCTCCCCTGGGGAAAATGTTAAATAGGCCTGATTAGAAGTAAAAAAGTGAAAATCTATGCTCTAAAACCGAATGTGTTTCACCATGACAGTTTTTAACAACATTATGCATTTTGCCAATGTAAAATTAAAATATAAAAATAATTAAAGTCATTGTGAGATGAACGAATTTTGAAATTTTGAAACACCCACTCTAATAGAAAGAATTAACTAAAAAAAATCTAAATGCGAAAAATGTTTGTGCCATAATTTATTTAGTAGAAGACTACTGTATAACCAATTAACACTACATCTTGCCCCCCCCCCCCCTTAAATGCGACCCTGATTATGGCTGTCCTATGAATTTCAAAAACTTTTTAAATATGTTGAACTGCTCATGAACTTGCTTGACTTTCTCAAACAATCCTTTTAATATCAGGACTATCAATAATGCACCTGTTTTGTAATTGAAAAACATAGTTATATTCCTTGACTATGGTGGATCAAATCTCAATTTGATTAATTAATCAAACTTTGGTGAAATTAATAAATAGATCAACCAGCGAGCTAGTAGGCATATGTGCCAACAGAAACAAAATAATCACTCTACTACTAGCAAGTGGAGTTGCTAACTTAAATATATAAAAAATCATTGTAGTTTTGTACTGAAGAAATACACTGACATATTTCTCTGTGATTTAATTTAACAGAAAAGGAGCAAAAAAAGAGTACCTTACATGGAATTAAACTGATATTACTTACAAGAAAGAGTCTGAGCTAGGAGTATATTTTACAGCGTAATTAGAAGTAAAAATGAACCTGCTATATCAAAATGCTACCAGCTAGGAACTAAATATGAACCTTTATTAATTAATTCCTACAATCCATTATGAAAGAAGTAAAAATAAAAAAAAACCTTTTATAGAAGGAATGTAGTAACAATGTAATCTTCATCATATTTTACACACTATTTAAATTAGATTTTAGTTTGAAAAGCAATTTGATACAAAGGAAAATATATTTGATATCTAATAGCGTAAGGCATTGAAAAATATCCGTAACTCTTAAAAAAGTTATTTACTTTGTTTTACAAACAACTAAAAACTGTAAGTTATGTTGCATCATAATCATAGGTACTAAAAATTACGTTGGCATCAAGGTATTTAACCTCTATATTAGTAATTGTTAAGTAATCCGCAAGCCAACACCCAGAAATAGGTAATAATAAGTTTTTCCATTTTGTGGCAGACAATTAAACACTTATTAAATCTATACGGTATACAACTTTGTTTAAAATTTGCAATACATCCTTCTACTTCACACCATCATTTATGCACATAATTATTTCTTTAAATAAGCTTTTTAATTCTTTTCATTACAAAAATGCCACTGGTGTAGGCACTACAAAAATTTTGTCTTTGGTTAAAATTTTCTTCAAAAAAGTGTTATTTAATGGACTTATTTACAAACGTTTCGATTGTGTACATTACCATTACCTACTGTATATACTTACAGCTGATTTCAGTTAACTGTGCATCCAATATGTTTTCCACAATGTTGGGTGGCTTATATTGAATAAAAAAATAGGATGATTAAGCGTTTAAAAAGATTAAACTGTGCTTACATAATACAAATTATTGTGATTTCATAAGTTACAAATTATAATAATTTATGATCATTCACTCTTGCTATTGGAATTAATTATCTGCAGTTGAAGATTCTTATCATCCAACTAGCAGACTTAAACTATTTATAAAAATTAATGTTTTTTATTTAGTTAGTTGATCTATTTTGTCTGTTGTTGTTGTGAATAACTGAACCTTTTTAGAAAATAAGGTTTTAATTGTAGGGGAGAGTGTTGTATCTTTGACCATCTTGTACCTTTGACCACCAGTCATATAGTGAAATCTAAAGGCTGTATAGGGAAGCTAATGAGACTAGTTCATCAGCCACCAGAGGACTACTTCACCTTGCATTGGAGATTGTAAACCCTGTTTGTTGGAAGATATTTCAGTTTATTCATTTTTGCTACTGAAAAGTAAAGATTTGTTGACTTATTATTGTTTGTCTTATAAAATGTATATTTTTCCACAAATAAAAGTGAAAGTGAGGAGGTATTAATGTTTATCCTCTAACTACTCTCAGGCCTGCTTTTATAAACGGGCAGACTGGTTATATGCCCAGGAGCGCCGGTGGTTGAGGGGCGCCTGGCGGGCGCCGTACAACTACTGCCCTCCCGTCCTAGGAAAAAAAAGGGGGCACTGCTTTTGAGTTTGCCCAGGGCTTCACTGACCCTTAACGCGGCCCTGACTACTCTTGGATGTTTGAAACTGATATTATCACATATCTTTTGAGAATATAATGGCGGGAAGCGCTAGTGTTGTACCTTTGACCACTTAATAGTGGTGTTTTTTTGACCAGGTCAAAGATACAACATCATCTGTATTCAGTGTAGTTATTACTGGTTTTTATTGAAATATGTTAATGTATTAATATTAAGCCATTGTTTTGTGGAACCTACAGGAGGTTGTCGCGAAGCTCCCCAACACTGCCAAATAAAGTGGATAAGCACGTCAAAGAGAATTTTTCAATTTTGCAGTGGACTTTTTATCCTAAAAAGTAGAATAAGCCATTTTTTAATCTTGATGAAATGAATAATAAGTTCAACTTTGTGTATCTGGTTTTATATTTTAAAAACTATCATGAAAGATATGTATTTGTTTTTTTCTACCTGTTTTGGGCTGAAATCGATATGTTGGTCAAAGGTACAACACCCACTGGTCAAAGGTACAACTGCATGTTGAACCTTTGACCACTATGTAGCAAATTGTCTTTATTACTAAAAATAGGTTAAAACTCATAACAAGGAACTGGAAAAAATATTTATTCTATGGATGAAACAGTTAAGTATCATCGTTGATTTTTTTTAAATAATTGGAGCTTTCCTGTTCCTACAAAAAATTGTTAAGTGAAAACTGGTCAAAGGTACAACACTCTCCCCTACTATTTTACTAAGAATTAAGTGGATGCACTGTTTTATGTCATAACTCAAACTCAACTAACTTTATTTACCTTTTTACAAACATAGAATAACAAATAAACATGTGATTATAATTAATTAAAATAATCTAGTCTCACAACATCCTCCCTTTTAAGTTTGAAAGTTCTTCAACTAGCTTGGTTTGTGTATATTTCTCTTTGGACGGTTGTATGGTTCTGTATTCTGTATTGTATGTGTATTCTCCAGACAAATTTTAAATATTTTAAATATTGTTAGTCTAGGTTTAGGTACATAGACATTGTTTTTACTTCTTAGTCTAGTATGTCTTGGATTTGTTCTATCAGTACCACATCTATATTGAAATATATTTTCAGAATTTTGTAGACATATAGATTCCTGATAGGTAATATTTCAATAATTTTGAAAAGTGGGTATGAAGGTTCAGTTTTGGTTTTATTTAGCACTAGCAGAGTACCCGTCCTTCGTACGGGGTTGGCATATAAGTATAAAATGCTTATTGCAGTTATACTCGAGCTTTGCGTTTGCAATGAGGGAGGACAAATAGTTTGATAACATTTGCTTCTTTAAATTTACAGTATTCTATAGTATTACACATCTACCATAACCATAGTGTTCTACCACTTCACCTAAACAATAGAGAAGAATAAATTATCAAAAATTCGCAAAATATCACAAATTATTCATGAAATTAAAAACATAAACATAACTGTAAACAATCATACTTTGACAGCTAGTTCTCATTGCTTATCACAGTTTTGTATTGCTGCTTGGTTCAAATTAGCTGTTTTCATAAATGCAAAAAAATATAGTGCTGCACCCTGATGGTAAATCTTATAACTTTTTAATGCTTTTGCATATCATAGAACCAACTTTTGAAGTTGAAACAGCTGACTAAATTCTTTAATTCCCTTTAAATATGAATACTCATAAGGTTAACATAAGGAATTACAGAGCCACTGGGGCGGAGCCCGAAAGGATTTTTGAGATAAGAATATGCCTATATGTTAATCGGGAATGTGAGCTATCATCATGCCAAATTTCAGACCAATCTGTCCAGTAGTTAATGCGTGATTGAACTTCAAACAAACAAACAAACACACAAACTTTCACATTTATAATATTAGTAAGATTATCCTGATGAAAGATTTTTGAACTTAAATTGTTACATAGCTGGAAAGGTAAACAAATCTCTAATACAAACAACAAGTAAATAAATACTTCAGCTGATTACTAAGAACAGTAATTCATAACAGTTGAATTCTCTTAGCTGTTCTTCAGTGGAAATAAACTTATCAATAGTGCGCTGAAAAGCAGACACACCATTTGTCACACCAAATGGAACCCTACAGAACTGATAAGGTTTTCCTGCTGCCTCAAATGCTGTGAAGCACTTTTCATGTTCCGATATTGGTATTTGATGGTAAGCCTCCTTTAAATCTATAGTATTTGAAAACATCAACTTGAAAATAAATTCTCAAAAAACAAATTTCATCCGTTTTTACAGGCACGGTGAACCAAGTGAGACTGAAAATAACTAAGTTTCTGAGTCAGATATAAAATTTTCAAGTGTCCTGAACCAGTGTTTGAATGCTCTACTTGCAGAAGGATTTTCAGGATTAATATGTTTGTTTGTTTGTTTTCAGATTAATTTCTCATGTTTGTGCATCAAAACAATTAAGGCAGTTATTCCTCCCATTTAACCACAATAGTTACCAAACCTTCTATTTAATTATAAATCATTATATTTTACACTAGCTGGCCCGACAGACGTCGTCCTGTCCTAATGTGGTTTTATGTAAAATGCTCGTTTATTTTCAAGATGACCTCGTTCGCATGGCTCAATCATGTCCTGGTAGAAGTTCGTTCGCATGGCTCAATGATGTCCTGGTTGAAGTTTGTTTGCTACGCTCACTCACCTTTTGGTTGCAAATTAGCTGTTGTCATAAATTAAAAAAATATAGTGCTGCACCCTGTTGGTAAACCTATTAACTTTTTAATGCTATTGAATATCACAGAATCAAATTAACAGCTGTTAAGATTCTTTAATCTATAAGTATAAAAGAGGATGTTTGTATAATATATACGAGTATATATTTGGCAGTGATAAACTCAGACACCGCTGAACCGATTGCCACGAAACTTGGTACATACGTGTAGAATTTCATGGAATAGGTTTATACACCATAAATTTTGTGATCCGTCCAATCGGCTCCGCCCCAGTGGAGTTTCCCATGTTAACCTTATGAGAAATGGAATTAATGAATCTTAACAGCTGTTTCAATTAAACAAGTTGGCTCTGTTCTATGATGTTCAATAGCATTAAAGTTACAAGGATTACCATCAGGGTGCAGCACTATTATTTCTTTTACATTTATGACAACAGCTAATTTGCAACCAAAAGTTGAGTGAGTATAGCGAACGAACTTCAACCTGGAGGCGAGTTAGCGTAGTGAACAAGCTAACCTGAAGGCAAAGTGAACGCAGCGAACGAACTTCAACCAGGACGTGATTGAGCCGAATAGAAAGACATTAATATAAGAGCAATAATAAAGAATCGGTTATCCTTTGTACAGCACGGATAACCGATGGATGGATTGTGAGAACACAATCCATCGACAGTCCTTCAAAACAATTCAAAACGTGGACAGCGATCGGATGTCTAATTATCCCAGTTGTGAAACCGTGAGGTCCACAACAAGGGGCCAAGACCACAACCACTAAACCAATCTTTGCTACCATCTGAACCACGCTCTCGCACCTGCACCCAGGCAAACAACTTGGAAGCGTGATTCCAATTAAGTGCAGGGACGAGGAGCGGCTTTCAAATCTACCAAAGAACAAGAAAAACCATGGAGGAAGGTCCAAGAACAACGTGCCATTTGAGAGAAATCAGCTGTAACAAACAATAAACAACAACAAACAAAACATTAACGATAATACATGTAATAATACATCGTTCTCCTTTTAAAAAGAGACGAGCTGCCATACTTGTGCTTTACAACAGAAAGAAAATGTGACCTAAGCATCCATTACCATAAGTGGTGCTGATGTGACTTTAAAAACACAGCAAATACCTATATGACATAATTTTAAAAGATAAACTGATTTAAAGTGTAAACCTACTTACTTTCAAAACCCTACTTTTGATGTCATGTCAATAGATCTAAAAGAATATGTATGACAACATACCTTTAGCGTAGCAATATAATCAATTACTTGAAACTGATGCTTCATGGATGATATATGTTTGACCACAATTCTTCAATTTTAGTTAAACCTCTTTACATGTAGCTAACTACATGAACAAATTAGAAATGAAACTGTGAGCAATAATCTACATAACCCTCTAATAATACACATATTTCCTCAATCTAAATAAATCCATATATAAATTCCCAAGTACCCATAAACGTTTGAGAAAACTACAAGTCACACCCCCATAAACCATATAGGTACTTAATATGTTCGTCATGACGAGAAACCTTGAAACTATCCATTATTTCATAGATTAATTGCCCTTTAATTCCTTTCTAAAGGGAACTTTCCATATAACTTACCTAATGTTAAAAATACCTCAGCAGAACTTATTTGTTTGTTATTCTTTCAATTTATTAACTTATTAAAATCAGGTATGATTATTTTTTTGGTCTACTGAATTCTGTTTTGTTTATTTCATTTTAACTTAACCAATCAATAGTTTTATGGTATCTACTCAAGGGAGGTATAAAAGAGCCTTCGATGATGTCAGCTGTTGATCTGTTCTCTTGAGGGAACACCATTACCGCCACGATACGGTATAGAGCCATCAGCCTCGGTGGTGTAATGGAAGCGTTCTTGGCTGATGAACTGAAGGTAGCCGGACCGTATCCCACCGGAGCCGTTAATTTTTTGTCAAAGATTTAGCTTAGAATACTTCTTAACTGTATATCTTTTGTTAGAATTTAAGGCATTTATAATTTTATTTTCTGAACAGAATTATTTTCGATAACTAAATCTTCATTATATTTTTTCATTATCAGCAAGTTTGATCAAAAAGAGTTACAAAAATGATCCATAATACAGTAGAACTCCAATTATCCGAACTCCAATTAACCGAATCTCCAATTATCCGAATCGCTTATTTCAACAATTTTAAAAACGCAAAGCTACAGTAATAAGTTTTGCAAACTATCAAAGAATTGTTATTAAACACATTTAGCCAATTTTTGACTTTGATGGAACGCTATTGACTTAATAACATGTATAGAACACTTGTACTATGAGCATTGTAAACTGTAAAAATTATTATTAATTAAAAGTTCACTTAGAACCGAAAATGAGGATTTTTCTTTAAAATTCCCGGAATTCCGGTAAAACTCCGATTATCCGAATGGGGTCTGGTCCCTATTGATTCGGATAATCGGAGTTCTACTGTACAGATAACACAAAATACAGATTTTCTATAAATACTCGCCGAACAATGAAAAAAGAAATTTGATACTGTTAATAGAAAAATGCTTTTTTCAGCTGGGATAAAAGAGTGGCTCACGATCGACAATCTTCAACACGATCACTGATCACATACCTAGAGATATGCCTTTACTAAAAACCTTGAGGGGTGACAGATAACCTTAAGAAAAAGGCAAAACGTTTTGATCATATCTAGTTATAAAATTATTTTTTTTAAATTTATTGAAATAATTAACCTTTTCTCTTGGCCACCTAGTTCGGCCAACAACATACTCTTCATCACTATCACTTTCAAAAGCTGATTCGTATCGTATACTCTTCTAGCATTTGGCCTTTCCATATAAACTTAAAACTTGAAGCCAGCTGATATTTACTTAACGGAAGATTAAAGAAGTTGAAAATTGGGCAGTTAGCTCTAACAGCGAGTGTTGAAATCCGATTTTGTCAGTTAAGAGCATTGACTATATAGGTATGTTAAGAGTTAACTGCAGTTAGAGCATGGTTTAACAGCGGTTTAAGTGTATGGTGAAATGGGGCCTAAAACTGTCTGAAGCTGGTCAATTTAGATGGGATGTTTACCTGATTGAGTAAATGGAAGTTTAAAATAGATTCATACAAATTCTCTGAATTACCTCTTTGTGAATTCTAGAAGTGTATCTTGAAATTAATCATGACCTGCATTTCAATATTCCAGCAGGCCACTATAAAATTTCTAACCATTATTTTTGGCGATTTTTTATGATGAAATTTTTCTCGTGTTTTGGTTTTTATTATCTGATTAGACAGACATCAATCCCTCTACAAAACTTATTCTAAAGGGACATAGATAAGGGATGAATTTATTTTTACACACATTATTGTTACTAAAGTTTTAATAAAAATCAGTTCACAATTACCTAATTAGTAATAAAATTAATGCTACCTATGTAAAATGTCTGTTAGAACTTATTATTAAATATTACCATAGACAAATAGAATAAATAATAGACCGACAGCAGTGCTGTGGTTAGCATATGTTCTGGAGTACACCACTAGGAGTGCTGTGTAGTTACGGCGAGGAGCCGACGGCGACAGCGAATCCAACTCTGAACACACTCTAGCGACACATAACGGAATCTTGCTTTGACATCTATATTTATTCCATTTGTCTATGATATTACACAAGTCAATGCAAAATCCTACCATCCTACCAACTACAATTATGTTCTAATGGTTTAATCTGACTAGAAATTAACACACAAAAATCCTACATTATACCACTAGGCATGTTGTGCTCAAGTCAGTTTAACATCTTAAAACAAAAATAACAACACAATAATATTAACAAAAATTAAATCATTCATCATGAATATATTAGTCTTTTATTACTAGATTACCTATGTATTTTCATTAAAACTAAAAGTTATATTTGCAAGTAGTAAAACATATCTTCGCACTTCATAGGAATAAAGTTGTTAAAATTTTTACATCATTCAAAAGAGTTTAATGCTAATAAATTTGCTAATTTAATTTGAACTATTTTACTATGGTGTGTCAACTAGGTAAAATCTAAGGCACATTTGCAAATAGGACGGAAATAATCATGAAAACCTGCCTGGTTTTGATATCAAAGTTTCATACGATTTCTAAAAACAAGTCTTTATAGTTTATGTATATGACTAAAGAACATATTAGTTAAAACCTGATGAAAATGGTCTTATGAGAATCTATAGCCTACGATCAGACACAATTCAATGGAAGTTACAAACAGATGTTATTTATCTGACCATTTTCATGAGGTCTACTTCAGTCTATAAACTACTTATTCCTTACTAATTGCACTTATTTACCCTAAAGTATTTAATTACTTAAAGGTTAGCAAACTTGTCAAAAAAAATATTATTGCATTTTCATGATTTGTAGAATATTGGCTGAATATATATTTAAAACAATATTAGCGCCATGGTGAGGTATGAGTAGGCATACTTAGTGAGTTAAAAATAATCACATAAAAAAACACTTCAATAGTAAGTAGTAAGTACGATTAGATAGTAAAGATCTTAAAATGTGGTAAGCATAAGTATGAAAATACTGACAAGTATTAGAAAGGGTTGTGATTTCCCTGGTAACTTAACTAATACTTAAGCAATAATGTACAATAAAATTAAATGTATCGCTAATATTCAAAACGTCCCGGGACAGTAGAATATATTTTTAAACCGTTGTTCATATATTTGTGAAGGTTTGATTTGATTGATCCTCTAATTATTAGCTTGACCTATGAAAAGTTGTTTTAAAAATAAATACAATTAAAAAATATTCTTTTATTCTCTGGGACTTATCAGAATAACCGTAGGATCATGTTAACCTTACTTAACTTCACAAACCAAATATAAAAAAATATGGTTATCTTAAATTAATTTTGTAGCAGTCTCTATTTTTTGAATTGTTTATCTTGTAAACACAAGCATCTTCTTAAAATACATACATGACTACACAGTACAACCCCGCTAATCTGTCACATTCAGGACCTGGACTATGGCCGGAACAGTGAAAAGGTCGGATTATCCGAGGAGCAGCATGTTCCGGATTTTTCCTCTGTCACAGAATACATGAGGTTTTTTGCCATTAGCGTAGAAGATATTCAGGATTTTGCCGTGATTACAAAAGTCAATGACAATGTTTCCGTGACCGCGCAAGACGTTTAATATTTTGGGAGACGATGATGTTTTTGTTACTGCAGGAGATATTCAGAAGTTTGCTGCAATTAAAGGAGATGATGATGGCATCGCAACTTCGGGAGATGTTAAACATTTTGCTAGGATCGTCAAAGACGATGATGTTTCCATGACCACAGGATTTGCCGATGATTTTATGTGATTGCAGTAGATGATGATAAAAATCTATTGCCGCAGGAGATGTCCTGGATTTGGCCACGATCGTGTGGGATGACGATAACGTTTTCCTGATCGCAAAAGACAATGAAGATGTCTCCGTAACTTGGGGAGAAACAAGATTTTTGCCGGGATTGCGGGAGATGTTGATGATGTCCACACAACCAGGGGAAATGGTCACAATATTACCAGGATAACATTGAAACCGATAGGCGATGGCCCGGTCGTATTCAGCGAAAAGTCGGACTAGCCGAGGTCGATTAGGGGAGTTATTCTGTACAAGCATCTCTTCCATGCATAGTATGTATTATAAACTCTTCCATTGATCATTGATTGGTGAGTCTAAGTTAGCTTATACGCAAAACTAAAAATGAAAATAATATGAAAACTATAAATAAGAAGTAAAATCTATTTTTATACAGTTTTTATCGTCCAGTTAAAAACCATACAGGTAAATTTTTTTGTAGTGTTAAGAAAGCATTTATGTGAAATGCTTCCTTAACAATGCTTTCTTAAACGGTTCTGCCGATGGCAGAGAACCGTGTTGTCATGCAGTGGTCCATGACGAATGGTCCACTACCCTTGTTTGTCGTGCCATGGCCACGCGTCAATGGCACATGTTGTAAGTAACATGAGAGCTTGCAAATCGCATGGTTTTTAGTAGGACGGTAGCGAACCAGCCCTGCTTTTTAATTGGCCACTGTTTATGTGTTTTATGACTTATGTGTGTATTTGTTTACCATTTTCAGTGTATTTCAGTATATTTTGATATTGTTAGTTATGGCCAAGAATTTATAAAAAAATATATATATATGGAAAAATATATTTCCAGAATATCACTAAAACTTTTTAGGAAGGCCAAGAAATAAATGGATGTCCCAAGGTTAAACAAGCTTAAGGTCAGCCTATCCTGTTGTTTAACATTTGGACTGGAATAGAAGACAATACTGTAATGAATATTGTTATAATATACATGCAGGCAAAATTTAAAATTTGACCTTAATTTCTGCTATAATTTACCTTAAAAATTTGGAAATTACCCTTAAAAAATAATACTTTAATTGGCAATACTTATAGAGGTTGATCCTGAAATAGTAGCATTCTTAACAATTTAGTGATACCTACAAAACGCTAAAACTCGAAACCTTCGTATTTAGGGAGACACATAAATGTTAAGTATGGCTTAGAAAGTAAGACACAGAAAATGTTTATAAAAAAAAAGATAAAGTCGTCAAAAATTTGTATTGTTATTGACAAAACACAACCTTTTCCAACAAAAAATATGATATATTTGTTGTGAACAAACAGGAATGACTGTAAGAGATCATACAAGTTAAATGGTCCTGAAGTTGGTCCTTAAACTTAAACATACGCTGACTGTGATTCGCGGATAATTCTGGTTGTTTCAGCTTAAAAATAAATTGACTTATTTCATAGGACAAGTAGTGTTGGATAGAAGTGGTTAAGAAACCCAAAAACAAGGAAAGATTGCTCATTAGAACTTATTTAAGCACTTCAATAAAACATAATGGCAAAATAGCAAGAAATCTCATTTCCAACAACGCTAAAATAAAATAACAGCATTTGAATATATTAATGTGTAAAAAACTACAAATCACCAAAGTTTTCAAACTATGAAATATTGCACAATAATTTAACCATGGGACACATTACTCATTTGTTACATTAAAAAGTAACACTTCAAAGTTTGCTATTGTTAACTAACTACTAGCACTACCATAAAAAAACTGTAGTTTTAGCTTAGTACAATAAGTTTTCCAAGAATTTTGAAAAATCTATAAAAACATGTTTGGGAAAAACAATAAGTTAAATTAAGCAATAAAAAAATAGTTACAAAACATGTTTGCTTATTATAGTATATAATATTTATTTAGCAATCATTCCATAATGAACAAAAAGAGGATATGGCCAAAAATGGTTTTACATTCAAAATATCTGCGTGATTAATCCTTAAGTAAATGGAAACCAGCACGATTTTCTGTTATACAAATTAATTCTATTAGCCTATCTCAACTGTTTCAACTAATAGCATATTAATCATGCAGTCTTACAAAAACAACTACGTTCTCTTCTCAGTGACTCATAACAGTAATACTACTTAACCACGCTCTAAATTATACATATATTAGGTCTTTAAAATACTATAATAAGACAAGGAAGCTGAAATATAACTACTCAGAATTAATATATAAAAGTTTACTGTTTCCAATGCATGCATGAAGTAATAAAAAATTAAAAAATACAACTCAACCAATAAGGCAATAAAAAATACAATAGTTTTGTTAAAACAATCGTTGCACTAAATCACAGTAAAGTAATAAAAATATCCTGAATATTTAAACCAAATGAAAACATTTAATGGCACATAATGGATGTAAAATAAAAGTGTGTAGTGTACATTATGGAATTTTCTCAATGTAGAGTCGTATCTGTGCTGATGTGGAATGATAGGTTAGGTTAGGCTAGATGACTAGTCGTCTTACTCCACATTGGCAGCAGAACTTGGCGGCCAAGACAGGATACTTAGCTCCACACTCGTGACAGAACCTTGCCACTTCTTGCTCCTTAGTCTCCTGCTCTCCTCCCACTGGCGACTTGCGGTTCAGGCTGTGGGGAAAACCACTGTGACCAGTTATATGATAAAACTATATTTAATCTCCGAATTATTGGAAGAATTTGTGATGACAAGACAGTGATATTAGTATACCATGGTTATTTCTTATCAATTATGTCTTACAGTTTTTTGTGCTGGGCAAATTCATCTTCTATTAAATCTATATATACTATAATACGAGTAACGTTTGCACAAAATGATTTCAAAAACGGCTCCTTTGATTTCCTCTAAATTGTTAGGAATATCTTCGTTTCAGGCTAAAAAATAACCCTATACTAGCCACTGTTCTGGAAAAATTTGTTTATCGTTAAAAACGTTAAATGAAATTTCAATATTCTTAACATTGGTCTTATGGAAAGCTAGGTAGCCATGACAGTTTTACAAAAATGTAAATAAATGAATTGTAACATAAAATGCTTATAACAAAACATCTACAGTACAGTGGAAAATTACTAAATACAGTACTAAAGAAAAGGAAATCCCAAAGTATCCATGAACTTTAAAAAAAAAAAAAAAAAACTACAAGAACACCTCCATAAACCATATACTTAAAATGTTCGTCACAACGAGAAACCTTGTGCAAAACTATCCATTATTTCATAAATTGCTCTTTAAGGTGGTAATTCCTTTCTAAAGGGAATTTTCCATATACCTTATGTTACAAATACCCCAGCTGTACTTATTTGTTTGTTATTCTTTCAATTTATTACCTTATTAAAAAATCAGGTGTGATTATTTGTTTGTATTACTGTATTCTGTTTTGTTTATTTCAGCTTAACTTAACCAATCAAAAGTTTTATTAATACTTATGAAGTCAAACGGGGTGAAGCCCGTGGGTAAAATCGTAGAATACTTTACCGCACAAGATTATACACCAATGCTGAACAAAGAGTATTGAGGAAACCGCAAGGGCGTTCTGTAATGTTTGACGATGCGCTACCGGTATGGGCCACGATCCTACGGATTATAAAATAGAAACGAAATGGACACAAACAAACAAATGATCCAAAAATAAACATGTTTGTATTATTTCAATGCAACTGTCAAAAGACTTCCAAAACGAATGTAGAGATTATTGATAATAGATTCCATTCAGTGACGTCATTCTTTTATGTTTTTCATCCATACAGTTTCTGTTCTAATATCTGTGGATAAGTGCAGGGCCGAGTGCTGTTTGCCTAAACACTTTGATGAGGGTCATTTTATAGCCTGAGGCTTGGCGGGGCGAGTGCTGGCCAGGTATCGTATGGGGGTGGAAAGATCGACCAGAGAGGATGAGCAAAATTTGTTTTAGAGATAAAATGAAACTGCTACAATCTAACCTTTACCTAACCTAACCAAACTTGCTGATTATGAAAAAAAATGAATGAAGGTTTACTAATAGAATCGATATTTGGGTAGCCCATTTAAAAAACTGTACCCGGTCTCCGTTACATCGTGCCCACTACACCCCCTTCAACTAATACCCCTCCCCTGAAAAACTCTTACGCTCTGGGGAGACCAACGGCACTCGAGCCTATCTGATGGTTTTGACAGTTTATAACCCCTTCGGTAAAGAATAGAACGGCATTCGCTCCGTTTCCTTCCGAGGATGGTCCCATTGTTGCTACGTTCCGTGATCCGAATGACTAAGTCGCTACCAGAGAGCGCATAATATTCGCAACTCGCAACAATTCTAGTCAACAGCACATTAGCTGATAATATGTTAAATATTATCACGAGTTTGTTATTGAACTTGATTGTAGATATTTTCAACCTCCTTCAATCATTTCCATACAGAAGAACAATCAATTTGTTCTTCTGTATGGAAATGATTGTTAATTAAATTAGGAATGAAGAGGGAACATCTACTGAAGAGAAATTGGCTTAAAATTTAACTAAATGTGGCAATATTTAACCCTCAATGCATCAAGCAAAAACGCCTTAGCGTTAAGCAGTTTTTAGTGAATTTCCCTATAGGGAAGTAGCTATTACCGTAGGTGACACGGTAAGACCTAGGCTCAGGACCGATTTACTTTTTCATTTTGATATCCCCAGAGGCCAAAAACACCATTCGTTAAAGTTTTTATATATGTATATATTTATATATAATATACAGGGTGTCCTGTAATTAAACATCCAAACTCCAGGAAATGGTTCTATGGGTCAAAATAAAGAGAAAATCAATAACATTTTTTCTAAAATCGCTTCGTTAACCAGATATCCACCATTTTGTATTTTTTACATAAACATTTTTAGTTTTGAATTTTTTCAACCGATCTTTATAGGTAGCCTACTACTTGTGATGTAGATTGAGGTAGAAAAGACCAATGTTAGAAAAACAATTCATCTAGATTCAACTTAAAATTTCAAAATAGCGGCCATTTTAATTTTTAAACCTAAATTACTTAAAAACGGCTGATTTTATGAAAAAATGTCAAGAACACTTTTATTTAGCGTTTTTAATTCCCTATCAAACGATACCAAGTTCAAAAAGATCGAATAAGAAATAGCTGAAATATTACGATTTTTAGTTGTAAAATGGGGCAAACCTGACTAGCTTTTGCCTTATTGTAACCCATTTTACAACTAAAAATCGTTTTCAAAGATTTCAAATTTTTATCACGATCAATTAATTGCAGGCCTACCTTAGAGCTATGCCTCATAGATCTATGAAGCAATTTCTTTTATCATTAGATATAAAATAAGGACTAACACGATAGGGTGACATTTCATTGTGAAGCATTAGTTTTGGCTTGAAACTGTCAGATATTGTATTTGCGAAGGTTTATATGTATTCCTATACAGTAATAGTTTTACTAGCATATCTGAAAAAATGCACATTAAATATGCAAACCAACTCCTGTTCTGAATATAAGAAGGTTTCAACTTACTACAAGATTCCCGAACGTAGAACGGGCACACAGCTAGTAAATAAATGAATCTTTATTGTCACATAATGTTTTCATAATATAGCAATGCTATAAAACAAGTGACATAGTCAAAATACAAATACTTTAAGATTAAGGAGTTATGAAAGACTAAAAATACCGGTAACTATAAAAATAAAAGTAGTATAAACAAAATGTATCAGTTAAAAAATTTAGTTTTCAAAACAAATTTATTCTTACACAACCTGATCATTTAAGAACTCATCTATACTGTAATAGGGTTTTCTTAAAAGAAAATTAGCAAGGCTGCTTTTGAAATGCTTGGACTGTATTTTGTTCTTTAATTCTTGAGACAGTTTATTAAATAGTTTTTTGTCCATGTACAGTGGCGTAACAGAAGGGCCCGCAATGCGGGGGGGCCCGGGATCTGATGGTGCCCGCGAACCGCTGTCCGGTTTTCTTTAGATGTCGTGTTTTGTTTACAATTTGTTTCTATTATTTTAGGGTTAGTTTCTCATTATTTGTGTCTCACTGTTTGGTTATATAGCTAGTGGACGAGTTATTGTTTATTATGATTTGATAGTTTTATTTGGTTAAACAAGGTTTTAAATTAATGCTGTTGGAGCAAACCTAAGTACTCGTTAAACTAGTGCTAATTAAATAGGGAATAATAAATAACTAGTGTACATGTTCGAATTCGAGCAATTGCGAAGAATTACAGGCGTTATTTTAAAACGAATAACGGTCATAATTTCAGATGACTTTATAAAAATCAACTCAAAGATTATGGAAATACTCACGATGTACACAACAGTTAGACATAATTGTTTGTAAATATCTTATCTTTTTTCAAAAGCTGATCTTGTTTTTTAGAGTTTTCTACAAATGTTTCCCACTCATAGCCGCATTAGGTTCTCTATAATAACGATTATAAATGAAGAAAAAAAACATTATTTCTATTTCTTCTAATTCAGTTTTATTTTTAATAGGCCTATATCAAATTGTCCAAGATTTCTCGCTTTTTTCCATTGTAATAATTACACCAACCCAAGTATCGTCTACAGATGCAATACGCCAAAGAATGTCATCTACGTGCAACACGCCTACGTACAATCTCCAAGAAGTGGTAAAGAAGGCAGAAACCGACCCATACAATAGACATAAGTTAACTCGATAAGAAATAATTTTAAGAGTTACTGTGATATTAGGATTTTCCACTGATTTGGATTACACATTATAACATTACAACATTATATTGCTAAACATGACACGATGCAGAAGAAAATCAATTTTAAAATCAGAAAAAACCTTTGCAAATACTTCATTTTGACAAATTAAGTAAATCACAATTTAAATATTAACAGCTGTTTCATTAAAAAGTATTGTAAAATTATACATACTAGAGGTCGTCCAGTGGTCGAAACTCGACCAAAAATATGTAATGTACAGATTTCTCTATTTTATCCTCACACTGTAAATAAAACATGTGATTGGAGTTTCTTCCATTTGTTAGCGAATTTCCCTATAGGGAAGTAGCTATTACCGTAGGTCTCATGGTAAGACTTAGGCCCGGGACCGATTTACTTTTTCATTTTGATGTCCCCAGAGGCCAAAAACACCATTCGTTCAAATTTTTATATATGTATATATATATATATATATATAGGTATATATATAGATTTATATATATATGTGTCCGTGAACACGATAACTTGAGTAATTTTTATCCGATTTTGATGAAATTTGGTTTGAAGGTGTAATGCGGGATAAACTTGAATGAGTTCGCGATCCAGCATGATCGGACCATGGGAACAGGGTTTTATGGGGTAAAAATTGGTTTTTCTCACTTTTGACCCTCAAAACACAAAATTTCCCAATTTTTCTCTAATCCTTCTTAAAGAGCTTAAAAAAACAAACAATTCAGTATGTCAAAGTGTTTTTGTACGGTTATTGGTTACGGAGAAAACTAAAAAAATTGTAAATTTAAAATTCCCATGTTATTCTTATGGAGAATATTGTAACATGTTGTAGTTTGCTTGATTATGGATATCTTTTGATCAAACTTGGCAAATATATTCATTTTCTACTAAGCAATAATTATTTTACTTAAAACACACACTTTATTAGTTTCCTTGTAGCAGCAAACCTAGGTACTCGTTAAACCTAATGTTATTTAAATAGATCGATTGAAAATCAATTCAGCCAAATGGAAATTCGCTTAGACGGCAGGTTTGCTGCGGCGGGGGTATTTTGATTTTCTGTTTATATTTCGTTGTTATTTCTTCACCAGCATAGCAACCCATATGATCCATGTTAATTTTTTCAAATTTTTAAACTCATTTTTTGTGCTTATCTTTGAGCCTATTTTAATTTATAAAGGGATTCTGCACACCTACAGGAAAATAGCTTTCTAACGGTATGCGTAGATTTTCCCTACGATGCACACGAGCTGAGAAAAAAGGTTTTAAAGAAACATGCTTGCCTATTAATATATAGATTATGGTCATCCTAAACAAATCTGCTGAGGGGACTCTAGAGGCCTCTGGGGCAGAGCCCCAAGGGAATTTACCTCGTTTCTCTTTTGATGGCTCATCTACAGACCAAGACCTTTCTTTAGAGACCCTTACCAAGTTTCTACGCCTAGCCGTTCTCTGAAATTAGCTGTGACAAAAACCCGTTTTTCCCCCATAAGAATAACATGGGATGGGAATTTAAAGGCCACTGGGACAGAGCCCCAAGGGAATTTACCACATTTCTCTTTTGATGGCTCATCTAAAGACCAAGCCCTTTCTTTAGACACCTCTTCCGAGTTTCTACGCCCAGCCGTTCTCTCAAATTAGCTGTCACAAAGAAAAACAGTTTCAAATTAATATATAGATAATAAATAAAATATCACATAATAATTTCAATGTGATATTTTTAAGGAGACATTTAATGTAAATCCAATCAGGCAGATGGAAATTCGCTTAGTCTGCAGGTTAGCTGCGGCCCAGGTTGAGGTATTTTTTTTATTTATTACTGCCTCTACCATCCCCATAGCCGCTCTTTTTTTTTGTCTCAGGATGCTAGGCGTGAGACCGGGATTGTTTTCACAATACTTCAGGCTAGACCTAGGGGTTGGGGCATAATCACTCCGATAAAATCCTTTGGTGATTTGGCAGGATTTGAACCCGGGACCTCTTGGACCGAAGTCCTGTGCTCTAACCACTAAACCAGCTCGCTCCCCCGCCATAGCCTCCCTTACACCTCCTTTTAGAGAATTTCCTATTTAGGGAATAAGTTTTTACCGCAGGTCTCATAGTAAAACCTAGACCCGGGACCGATTTACTTTTTTATTTTTTGTTTTGGCAAATTTGATTATTTCATACTAAGCTATCAAGATTTCAATAAAAAACACTCCTTTTACATTAACTGTAGTAGCAGACCTAATTACTTATTAAAGTTAATGTTATTTGAATAGGAAATAAATATGGCGAACTAAAGAAATCCAGCCAGGAAAATTGGGAATTTGCTGTCTGCAGGTTTGCTGCAGTGGGGTAACTATTAATACAGTACCAAAAAGAAATCAAATTCTAAATACTTAAAGCTCTAATTGGAACAAAGATTGGCAATAAAAATTACATACACCACAGATATTTCAGAACTTAAGAAATATTTTCAGCAACTATCTCATTTCAACATAACTTAGTATCCAAAAAACTAACGTGATCATTTAGTAGAGTTAATTTAAAATTTAGTGTAGTAAATGTTTAGTAGATTTCCCTGACTTAAAACTATCTTGAAAACTTCCCCTGACTCTCAGTCTTTTTTAAAACCTTTCTCTGTCCTTATACATCCTTCCCAGACTTTCTTAGATCCGTGGGAACCCTGTAATTCTTAATCTCGTGATCATTTTCATTATCATTTAATGTCACAAAAACATCGTCTTCCGCGATAGCGACAAAATCCTTAATATCTCAAAATTTTTCGCAGAAACATTATGGCTAGGCTTCTGGTGGCATAATCCTGTGACACATTTTACGAACACGATCGTAAAAGCTCGGCTTGAGCTTGATTTTCCTAGAATGGCTAAAAACCCCAGTTTTCAAATTTAAGGTTTTTTCCCAGTTTTCCCGGTTGGTATACACCCTGTTAAAATACCTAATCATAGAATAAAAAATTATTTCCTCCTGATAGTAATTTAAATTATTTTAAAGCCCTTATCAAGATTTATAGCCTAAGGTTGACCATCTGTCATTTTGGCAATAAGCTGAATGACCAAATTTAAATAAATTCCAAGAGAACATTTAATTACTCTACATCCTAACATACCTGCTATAAGCGGAGTCTGGTCCACCAGTGTGACTCATTGAGAAGTCCCTATCTTGTACGTCCATCAGGTCCGCCGGGAAACTAGAAACCAAGGAAGGAAAAAGTTTAAGAGGAGGAGAGGAAGGAGAGGGGGAAGAGGATGAAGAGGAAGAGAAAATCTTCTCAAACTCTGACATAGACTTAAGTAGCTCCTGCTCTGCGTTTAGAGTCTCGGTGTCGGACACCGCTTTGTGTAAAGAACCAGAAGAACTGTGGAAGTTATCATTTTTCTCAGTCTGTCGTGAAATAATTGGTGAACCGAAATATCTTTCCCCCTCAATGACGGTTTTTGACCCGTACAGCAAATCTTCCATTTTTAGTAGACCCTTGAGGGGATCCCTACTCCTACGGGGTTCGCTTGGTTTGCGAGACTCCACGGCAGAAACTGTCCTCCTCAGAGGCAACGGAGTCTTCTTCTCAGGTACTCTGGCGCTGTTACTGTGTCCCATTTTGTAACTATTTTTGTTACTATCGACCGACTCTATGCTGATGGTTGAGCATAGACTCAAAGTACTCAGGTTGATAGTGTTTTGGTTGGAGTCTTTAGAAAAATTGTCCAGCGGAGAAGTAATGGTGAGGGGAGGGGTTGATTTTTCACTTGAAGCATGGGATTTGGTTTCCACTTTTGACATGGTATCGTTGTCGTTTTCTGAAATGAAGAGCGGCTCGGGGGTTAGACTAGAGGTAAATTTGCTAAAAGCTGAGGTAGGCGAGGAAACTAGAGAGGGTGATTTGGAAATGGGGGTTAGTTTCTGCGGCTGTGGCTGAGGATGTGGCTCCATGAGTTCCAGCATTTGCTGCTCGGCTGACTTGTACGGGTCGTAGTCGTTTGATCCACTACAACGCAAGACACAAAAAACATGTATCAGAAAACTTTTGATGAATTATTATCTTAGCCTATTATTAAAAATTGTAAGAAAATGGCAAATTGATATTACTTGGATGTGACATTTGAAAATTACTGAAACTAGTTAAGAGACAGGAAATCATAATATAAAACCTTGATTATAAAATATCAAAGAGTAGTGCCATTGATTGAAACGGAAAAACAGTGCTGGATTCTTAGAATGACAATTAATTTATCAAAATGAATGTAAAAATTACTTCTAGCAAGATTTAGGAAGATCTGAAAATTTGCATTAAATTAACACAAAGAGAAAAGGCAAAAACAAAGATTTTCCACTGGAAAGGTAAAGGGATTTCTAACAAACAGTTACAACCAAACAGAAGCCAACCATACTTTGTGAAAAGGGAAGTAGCTGTTAGCAGGAAGAAACATATAATAAAACATAAGTTGAGTTTATATCTTTATTGTTTTTTTATATTCAATGAGAGTATCATGGTAATTGATGGACAACTACTATCATGCATTGAACTTCATTGAAGACATTTTGATTTATTTACATTTTTATTTCAAACCAAAACTGCTTTTAAGTTGTGCCTACAGTGCTGCTAATTCAAGTCTGTGGAAGAACAAATTTGAATTTAATAATCTTTAACGCTTTAATAAAATATCATAAGCATTAAAAGTATGGAATAGGAGACACATTGCTGTTTAAAATAGTTTTGTATACAAACAAACTTTTAAATTACAAAATTATTTAATTTTTTTTTGTTTTTTAACAATAAATCAGGTATTTTATCAAGTTCATGCAAATTTAGATCCTTGTAGTTGAAATTTGTGTATACAAAAAATGCCCAATTATTAAAATCTACCATGCATGAACCATATGATTGATGACATGGGATTGTAGAGCTTTCAAGGCTAATTTTTCATATTAATAGAATGAAAGATGAAAATTATAAGATAAGTATACGTGCTGAACAGATTTCATGGTGCACAACTACTTAGTGAAACAAGATTAATTTTTGGTAAGTGAGTCAAAATTGAACTCACGGGCCCACACGTTTCTTAGTTATCTGTGTAACTACTTTTTTGACAGCATTTGGAAATCTCATTCTGTAAACAGCAACAATAAAACACATATAGTATAGAGATTAGTTCTAGATTTTAGAACATTTATTGAGCGGAGCGACATTGGGATCAACTTCAATGCAATCTTTCTAACACATTAACTCAATAATGGCTGAAAATATTTTAGCCGAACTTACCAAGGTTGTTTTGTTAAATGTTTGGAAGGTTTAGACGAAACCAATTAAAATGTTTGATTATGCCTATATAATTAAAAAGTAACTCAAAGTTTTAAAATTTTTACATTGATTGACCTTATGGATTGGAGAGCACTTCTTCGTCCAAAAAATGCTATTATAAAAGGTTTAAATACCTGCTATTAAGCAATCCAATTTTGTTGTTGACACAACTAGTTTCGGTGTCTGTGTGACACCATCATCAGGCTGCACAAGGACAGTTTTCTTTCTTCATACGAAGAGCGTCATATTTACGTTATCTTAAGATAACGGACGTACACCACTGCATTGACCACCCGCAGTCTGGACTCAAACTCCGTCGGGTTAGCGTCGTCTGTTTTCTTAACTGATCAGTTACCATAAATGTCTCGTATTCGTGTTTGTGTCGTGTTTAAATGTTTATTTATTATTTTCGTGTAAATATGACGCTCTTCGTATGAAGAAAGAAAACTGTCCTTGTGCAGCCTGATGATGGTGTCACACAGACACCGAAACTAGTTGTGTCAACAACAAAATTGGATTGCTTAATAGCAGGTATTTAAACCTTTTATAATATTATTTGGCAATCCGGAGGCTAACAACTACAACAAAAAATGCTGTCCGATTTTGCAACTATCGTTTGTTACTCTATCGAATCTGGACATCATCTATACTATCAATTCAATTGTAGTTGTAGTTGTTGTTTGTCACATATCTGTCAGAAGCTATTGTGATACGGACAAAATTAGAGCATTCTATTATAAAATTAAACTGTCATAACCTAGCCAAACTTATCAAACTTGCTGATGATAAAAAAAACGAATGAAGGTTTACTAATAGAAAAAATAATAGTTCTGTCCATAAAGTAAAATTATAAATGCCTCAAATTCTAACAAAAGATGTACAGTTAAGAAGCAATCACATTCTAAGCAAAATCTTTGACTAAAAGTTAGTGTCACCGGTGGGATTCGATCTGGTTACCTCTTGGACGTGAGCCGAGTTCTCTATCCACTACACCACAAACACCAATGACAGCACTTTCTATCGTTGCGGTAATGGTGTTCATTATATTCATTCAACCATAAACAATTGAATCGAACCCATTTGGTCCGAAATAATATTGATACTTAGTATTTCCATATTGAACCGATAGTAGACGGTGTTTTGTATGAACATTTGATCACCTTATGTGTTGCCATGATGGTAAAAAAATAACGATGTAAATGTAAAAAAAACAAAGAATCATAGCATATGTTAAAATCAAGCCATGACCTAAACACAGTACAAAGGAAACAAATTCAGATGATGACCACTGATCAAATAATACGGAGAAAGTCTTAAGTTTATATTAAAGTCGCAATTTGGAAACGACCACTGATAGAATAGATACAGTATTTTACAGATTTGATTTACGTAGCTAAATAAGGTTAAGTATAACAAATAAAATTTATCTTATGTTATTGGGAATTAAAACAACTACATGATTCTGCAGTTTAAATAACTAGGTATTCTCAAATCAATATTTTTTATCTAAATAGGCTATTATAAACATGCTTTCTTATTATTTGCATTGAAATATTTTTGATGATATTATCGCGTTGGCAACACACTAGTTGTATTGATTGTTGTGTTGGCAACGACTTGGGGTATATTATTGCCCAAGAAGGATTAAGGATTTTTTGCGTTTTCGTTTTACAAGAAAATACATAATTCGCATAAGAGTGTCATATGAAGGAAGACTTCAGAATACATTTTCAAAAACTGCCTGATATTTGTAGGAAAGGAAGACGAGCATTAACGCCGGAAACGCACGAACAACTACTTCTGGCAATGTTTGGAGAAAGTTTTATGTAGAACACTTGCTTTGAAAACAATGCTTTTCATAACTATCTTAAATCTACAAAATTTAAGAAAACAAACCTCATAAGGTATGGTGATAACTATTTGTGCAATTCTCTCCAAGCAAGCAAGTCTTTAAAAAGTTACATCTGCTAATCGTATGGATCCATGCAGGATTATTTCTGCCTGAATTGCAAAATCTGGCTAAGATTGAGAAAATGTCTATTGGTTTAGGTTCAAGGTCGGGTTCAACCAGAACTGTGGGTTCACCAGATGACATTAGCAAGCAAACACAGGAAAAATCTTGATACAAAGGATATGTAATGTCCACATCTTTACTTATGAAACTTGTTATAGATGTTGATAGTTCTGAGCGAAACTGATAAGTTAAATTGGTGAAATAGTTGTATTTTGTATTATACTATTAAAAACCATGAAATGTGATCGCTCTGCTCAACTGGCTTTCACTGCTATGAAAGCAATCTTAGTACTTCAGTTATCTACTTTGGTCATTCTAGCTGTGTCACTTGTACTTACCATGATGAATCCTTTGTTAATTTTGGTAACATATTTTTTTTTAGGGAGTATGTTTTATCTATGATAAAAGGTAGCATACAAGGTTCTGTGAAACTAATACCTTTTCAATGTCACAACCTGTTTTTTGTTACAACTTGAATTATCGCTGGTGGCTGGCTGAAAAATTCAAAATATACAGGGTGGAATGAAGTTAGTGTTAAAAATTTGTAAACTACTTAGTTTTAGTGATAAAATGGCACTAATTTAGATTTCCATAGCCTCATAGGTAGGGAAAAACAGACAAAATAAGCTTTTCTCAAAATATTTGTATTTTCTTACATAAAATGGCCATAAGTGCATTAAAAATGGTTTTAATTTAGAATGTAAAGTCATTTTCAGAATCCTCATAAATTTCCAATAGTAATAGTACAGAGTTACTGAGATGAAACATCTGTATAAGCATTTATTCTGCAATGGAAGTTTAAATTTGGGATTTTTTAGAAAAATGCAATAACCTTTACATAAGCTTTTATACGTTAAACTTGACTATAGAGAGTGTCAAGTATTACTAACTTCTTTAATTTATAATCTTTAAAATGATGTATAAAAATTTACTGTTTCTTTGCGTTTTCATTCTTAAATTTAAGAGTTTCTTTTGAAAAACATGGAACGGCTAAGTCAAATTTTGTTTATGAAAACATGTATTTGCTTAAATGATATGGCAACAGCTGCACTAAAAATAATGTTAAAATAGAGTTTATTGTAGTTTTTAGAATCCTTGTACATTCTTTTGTTGTGTTTTTCTTTATATCCAATATGGCGGATCCAAGATTGCGGCCAAAAATGAGTTCCCTATGTAAATGAAGTACTAACCACCAAATAAACTTTGGGGGTCATCCCAAGTCAATATCTCAAAAAATTTTGAATAAAATATGCATGTGGTATATTTTTTTCAAATTTGTCCAATGTTGGGAAAAGCCGCCATTTTTAATCGTGATTTTAGGAGGTTTCCTGTAGACTGATTTTTGGCAACTTTTAGTATGTCACTCTGCAGACCCAACACTACAAAATAAACCATAAAACGTTTTCTTACAATTGTTTTTAACGTTCCCTGTGTCAGTTTTTTTAGTTTGCTTGGACTAATAGAGATTTGGCAAAATAAAAAAATTTACGTTTTATTGTTAAAAAATTTAAATATTTTCGTATCCATGTCTTAGAACCAAATTTTTATACTTATATTATAGGAAATTTAATTGTCTACAGCACTGACATTACATATCTTTCGCTAAAACGCATCAAAACGGATATATAGGCAAAAATCTCTAGAAAGTACAGATTTTTTCGATCTTTCAAAATGGCAGCGGGCGCGGAGGGGGGAGAATTGTGCATTTTTCATTTTAAACACCTACTTACCATCTTAGACAACATATAAAAAATTTAGACTTACCGGACCGTTTGTAAGTTAACATGCCTCTATTCACTGGACTAGTATCTATTCTGTTAACTTGAGTGTACTTAAGTGCTACGATTCGTCCATGAGGTGTGAAGTGCGTATGTGTAGATTTGGTGTGAGAGAGAAGCACGTTTCGATAAACTGTAAACCGTTGTGATTAAGACTCGTTAACCATTTTGAATAAAATGTTAGGTTAAATGTACCATGTAACTAACACCTTAAACAATATTCAATGTATTCAAAAATAAAAACACTAGTTTATTATTGTATTACAAAACATAGCATAACATGGATGTTAATCCTAATAGATTTTTAATATCTTCTATACTATTATATAAAAATCTAATAGTGTATGTCTGTATGTGTGTTACTAATAGGTGCAAAAACTACTGAACCAACTGGGCTTAAATTTTACAAAAATATAGCTACCATACCAAGGACCATTATAGGACTATTCACATTTCGATACTGACCAAGTATTTCAAGTAAGTAAGTAAGTAAGACCGTAGGCTTTGCCCCTTTGGCTTTAAAAGTTCTAAGGTGAACATTTTAAAAGTTAATATTGATTGGTCTCCATGGCTGCGATGAGAACACTAACAATTTTGTTTACATTTGCTTTGACATTTAAATGTAAACAAGAAGAACTGCTTAACTGCATATTTCACAATTTCAGACAGCTGATACAAAGAAATTGAATATAATATTTTCCAAAACTATGAGGTAGGTTTATTTTAATGTAACCTTTTATCATGGATTATTTATTCTAACTAAAACTATGTCAATGATTATAGAAAAAAATGATTCTATAACCGTTGCTGTATCAACTCCGGCTCTTGCTTTGGATTTTTTAAAGCGTCTAAGTTATGAAAATAATGTTATTGATATGTTTTCATGGAAACAGTATGAAAATTACAATGAATAGATGTTTTGTATGAATTTGGAGGCTACTTTAAATAAATGCTAACTGCTTAACATGTGTTAGATTAACTTAATATAACGGGATCACATCATTTGTCCGAGTTTTC